GACATAGTCATATTCATGGAACCATATCTAATGGACCTTGTTCCAGACACCATTATCACCATCCCTGGGTATCCTGTCCCACCGGCAGGACAGACCCAGCAGACGTGGCAACATTGTGGTATGTAGTCAGGAGAAATTTGCTCTGGAGATCCTCAACATTTACTCTGGACCCCATGAAGTCTCACGGCTTCAGGTTAGACATGGGCAAGAAAATCTCCTGCTGATTACCATATACTGTCCTCCTGGGCAAATGAATTGGTACCCCTCCATTTTGAACAACACTCGGAAGAAGTACTGAGGATGGCAAGAGCAGACTGGGTGGGGGATTTCATGTCCATCACCAAGAGTGGCTCAGCAGCAGCATGACTGCTAGAACTGGTTGGGTCCTAAAGGACATTGCCACTAGAATGGGTCTGCGGCAGGAGGTGAGGGAAACAACAACATGGAAAAAGATATTTGACCTCATCCTTAGCAATCTGCCAGCTGCATATGCATCTGTTCATGAAATTATCGGTAAGATTAACCACCGTACAGTTCTCCTGGAGATGAAGTCCTGCCTTCAGATTGATAATAATCTCCATCATATTGTGTGGCACTATCATTGTGCTAAATGGGATAGACTTTGATCAGAGCTTGCAACTCAAAATTCGGGATCCATGAGGCACTCTGGGCCTTTAACAGCAACAGAACTGTACTCCAGCATAACCTGCAACTCATGGCCCGGCATATCCCCCACTCAACCATGACCATCAAGCCAGGGAATCAACCCTAGTTCAATGGAGACTGCAGGAGAGCATGCCAGGACCAGCACCAGGCATACCTGAAGATGAAGTATCAACCTGGTGCAGCCACCAAACAGGACTACTTGCATTCCAAACAGACTACGCAACAAGTGATAGACAAAACTAAGCGATCCCACAATCTAAGATCTAAGTTCTGCGGTCCTGCCACATCCAGTTGTGAATGATGATGAAAAATTAAACAACTCACTGGAGAAGGAAGCTCCACAAATATCCAAATCCTCAATGATGGAAGAACCCAGCCCATCAGTGCAAAAGGTAAGGCTGAAGCATTCACAGAAATTTTTAGCCAGAAGTGCCTAATGGATGATCCATCTCAGCCTCCTCCAATAGTCCCCAGCATCACAGATACCAGTGTTCAGCTAATTTGATTCATTCCTCATCACATGGGAGCTGGGACTGATATTAGATGAATATTTTGTGTCAGTTTTTACTGTGGGGAAAGCATGGAGTTAAGCGAACTCAGAGAAATAAATACTGATGTCTTGAAAACAGTCCACATTACAGAAGAGGATGTGCTGGAGGTCTTAAAAAACAAAGGTAGACAAATCTCCAGGATTTGATCAAGTGTATAACAGGATATTGTGGAAAGCTACAGAAGAAATTGTGGGGCCCCTGGCAGAGATATTTGTATCATCTGCAGCCAGGGTGAGGTGCTGGAGAACTGGAGGCTCATTAATGTTGTGCTTTTATTTAAGAAAGGCTGCAAGGATAAGCCTGGGAACTGTAGACCTGTGAGTCTAACATCGCTGTTGGAGGGGATTCTGAGAGATAGGATTTCCATGAACTTGGAGAGGCAAGGACCGATTAGGGATAGGCAGCATAGCTTTCTATGTGAAAAATTGTGACTCACAAAATTTTTGCGCTTTTTGAGGACATAACCAAAAAGATTGATGAGAGCAGAGCAGTAGACATTGTCTACAGGGACTTTAGTAAAACTTTGACAAGGTTCTGCATGGTAGACTGCTTAGCAAAGTTAGACCACATGGGATTCAGGGAGAGCTTGCCAATTGGATACAAAATTGGTTTGATGGTAGGAGAAAGAAGATGATGGTGGAGCGTTGTTGTTTGGACTGGAGACCTCTGACCAGAAGAGTTCCAGAGGAACTGGTGCTAATTCCACTGTTGTTAATCAATTATATAAATGATTTGGATGAGAATTTAGAAGACATGGTTAGTAAGTTTGTGGATGACAACAAAAATGGGTGGCATAGTTGACAGTGAAGAGGGTTATCTAAGATTATAAAGGGATCTTGAACAATTAGGCCAATGGGCTGAGGTGTGGCAGACGGAGTTTAATTTGGATAAAGGCAAGGTATTGCATCTTGGTATAACGAACAAGGGAAGAACTTGTGCAGTTAATGGTAGGACCCTGAGTAGTGATGTTAAACAGAGAGATCTAGGGTTTCTTTGAAAGTTACGTCGCAGGTAGACAGGGTAGTTAAGGCATTTAACGCACTTGCTTTCATTGCTCAGACCATTGAGTATAAAAGTTGAGATGTCATGTTGGGGTTGTATAGGACTTGGTGAGGCCACATTTGGAGTAGTGTGTACAAATCTGGTCACCCTGCTTTTTGAAGGACATTATTAAATTAGAGAGGGTTCAGAAAAGATTTGCCAGGATGTTGCTGGGACTGGAGGGTTCGTGTTATAAGGAGAGATTGGATAGGTTGCGAATTTTTTCCCTGGAGCTTAGGAGGTTGAGAGGTGACCTTATAGAGGTTTATAAAATCATGAGGGACATGGATAAGGTGAACAGCAAAAGTCTTTTCCCAAGCGTGGTGGAGTTCAAAACTAGAGGGCATAATTTTAAGGTGGGAGGAGAAACATTTAAAAGGAACAAAGTGGCCACTTTTCCCCTATTCATTCATGGGATGAGGGTGTTGCTGACCAGGCAGCATTTATTGTCTAGAGTCATATACAGGCTAGTAGCTTCCTTCCCATAAGGGCATTAGTCCTTAAGAACCAGAAGGGTTTTATTAATTCATGGCCATTGTTAGATTCTTAATTCCAGATACTTTATTGAATTCAAATTCAACCATCTGCTATGGCAGGATTTGAACCTGGGTCCCTAGCATGTTATCTGGGTCTCTAGATTAACAATCCTGTGATAATACCATTAGGCCATCACCTCCCCCACATGATTTGTGTATGGAATGAACTGCCAGAGGAGGTGGCTGATGCAGTTACAATTACAACATTTAAAAGACATTTGGACAGGTACACGAATAAGAAAAATTTAGAGGGATATGGACCAAATGCAGGCAAGCAGCACTAGTTTAGTTTGGGAACTTTGTTCGGCATAGACCAGTTGGATTGAAGGATCTGTTTCTGTGCTGTATGACTCTATGACCTCGCCATTCTTTTGTGAATAGTATTGAGTAAGAAATAAGCTCTGACTGAGTAATGAAAGCTAAGAGATGGGACACTGTGCTACTTCAAGACAGAAAGGACAAAAGCAGAACTTGCAGATAGCTGCACGTTTCTGTACTATAACTGTTCAGTCACTAACCACAAGTAGAAATTCTGCATTCTTAAATTGGATTAAATTAATTAAATTATTTGACAGCTGGCACTCCAGCAAGTGGGAGATATTCAAATCCATGATCAATATGTTCAGATCTTGGTAATTTAAATCAACTATGTTAAACAGTTTGCATGTCTGATTCCAGATAAACTCATTGGAATAAATGATACGGCCCTGCCTTAATAATGTTTGTATCAGATTACTGATCATTGATTGGAGAGTGTGTGGGTGAGGTGATGCCAGCAGTCTCATTAATGTATCTGTTACATGTGATGAATGTCTAAGTAGGAAAAAGAGTAGGCCATTCAGCCCGTGTAGCCTGGCCTACCTTTCAATGCTGCCATGGCTGAATTAAATCTTCTCATGTTCCACATTCTCATAACCTTTACGTTACTTGTAACTGAAATCTATCAATCACTACCTGGAATATACTCAAAGACTGAACTTCACAGCTCTCTATGATGTTTGCAACCAGGATCCTGCATACACTACTGCACTGTATTTTGTATTTCAACAAATTGAAATCGAGCTCAAAATCTGTCTTGTAAATGTTTGAAGCTTGAGCATTGAAATTAAAATCATTTGAATTGAAAGAACATAGATTTCTAAACACAGCTGTTTATAGAATCATAAAATCCCTACAGTGTGGAAGCAGGCCATTCAGCCCATACCAACCTTCCAAGAGCAACCCACACAGACCCATTGCCCTATCCTCGTAACCCTGCATTCCCCATTGCTAACCCACCTAGACCGGACATCCCTGGACACTATGGGCAATTGAGCATGACCAATCCAAGTAACCTGTACATCTCTGGACTGTGGGAGGAAACCGAAGCACCTCAGGGGAACCCACACAGACACAGGGAGAATGTACAAACTCCACACAGATAGTCACCTGAGGATGGAATTGAGCATGGGTCCCTGGCGTGTTGAGGCAGCAGTGCAAACTGCTGAGCCACAGTGCACCCTAATTTCCTGGTGCCTTTGGTGACAAGAAAGAAAATTAGCTGCACACTTGTGAACAGCCAGCGTCATGTGGACGTTGCTTCTAAATTTGTACCTAGTTCAGTGATGTTTATGTTAGCCCCATTACCCTCAGGTCACAAACTATGTTACAGTGATGACATCATGAGCATGTCTGTTAAAGGTATACAGATATACTAACTGTGAGACATAACGCACCAATGTGCAGTGCATTTTCTTTAAATTGTTTTGAGGGTGTGGAAATTGTCAAATATTCCTTATTTTTGATGGGCCCTCTCAACAGTTCATGCTTACTAGAGACTCTGAACTACTCACAAATCTCTTTAAAGCAGGTACTTAGAAACATATGAGTCTGGTTGAACCTCACAAGTTCAAGTCTCATCACAGTAGCTTCAGAATTATTTTAATCCAGCTTGCAAAAAAAAAATCAGGTCATATAAAGCTATCATCAAGATGAGGCAATGAAATTGTTGAATTGTCCTTAAAACTGAGTTAATTCATTCATGTTCATTACGGAAGGAAATCTACTACCTTCGCTCAGTAAATAACTCAGTTATATCAAACTGCTCCAACAATACCATGTGGAGAGTTCACAATGCAGCTCACTATCAACAGCATCTCAGGACAATGAATCCTGAAAACGTGTTTTTTTAAAATAAGATTTAATCAGAAATATAATTCTTTCTGAGTTATTTTCACAGACACAGTCCAGTCAATATATGTGGTAACAAATACACCAAATGTGGTCGTGAATGTTGGCAACAATGCCACACTTGACTGCTCCTATAGGACGCAAGTTGAATCCGCATTTTCCCTTGAATGGTGCTTTACACCTGGCCCAAAAGGAGATGGAAATGCACAGAAGGTAAGAGACACTTGTCCCCCATTTTCTTCATTTTAAAACACTCTTGTTTCCTGCTTACAAATCATTGTACACCTAAAGGAGTGCTAAAGAAAGAATGGCACAGAGCACTGCATCTCAATCATATATGTCAGCCCCAGCTCAGTCGGTGATAGGCTTATACCTTTGACAAAAGAGTGTGGATTCAAATCCCTCCACAAAGTTGCATACAAAATCTAAGCTGACTCTTCAGTGTAATACGGAGGGGATACTGCACTGTTGCTTGTTCCATCTTTCACATGAGATGTTAAACTAAGAAGGATTCCAAATCATTGTTTCAAAGAAGCACAGGGAAGTTGTTCCATTTGTGCTGACCAGTATTGATCCCTCAGCCATGATTGCTAAATTATCTGAACATTGGCACATCATTGATTGTATGATCTTACTTTGCACAAATTGAAGAGCATTTCTTACAATAGTGAGAAAGGACTGTCAAGCATTTTAGGGTATTCTAAGATCATGAAGCGTACTATATACATGCAATTGCTTTCTTTTATTTCCAAGCATTTCATGTATAGTGAATTACATTGAAGTGTAAAGATTGTTGTATGGGTAAAAACAGCACCACTTTATACACAGCAGGATCCCACAAATAACACGATGAATGACCAGTTATTCTAGGGAGAATTTTAAGTTTTGTTTGGTTGGCCAGCTTGGTGGGCTAGGGAGGTGTAATGTGTGTGTTGACAGCGTAACAGACCCTGGTGAAACCTGGAAGTAGATGGGGTCATGTTAGGTTTCCTTTTGGGATTTAATCCTTCCTCTGCATTCTAAAGTATTAATCCCTCCCCACCAATGAACTATCTTGGTCATTAATGTTCAGTCCATGCTGTCAGAGAAATGTTTATGGTCACACAAAGAATGACTTGGCTTCTCTGGGGAAATGACATCCAAACTCATATTATTTTAGTGCTGCACTATTGTCTCAGAGCAGCACTGATGGAGCCTTGGAATAATTCAATCATTATGAAGACATTTCGCCCATGGGTACTTCAGCACTTTGGGATACTGAGGTCCTTCAGCACTTTACTAATAGTAAAGTAAACCAATCTTGTTCCCTAGATTGGTTCCCTATCATGCTAGAATTTCCAAACTCACTACAACATGAAAAGTTATTACTAAGAGGCTTGGAAAACCCTTCTACAGAGGAGGGACAATCAAAAGGAAAGCTTTTGGATTCTATATGATTCTTTAGAAGTAGAAACCAGGAATAAGGCTCTTTAAGCTGATAGACACAGAAGACACAAATCCCCAATATTGTGAAATGCACTGCTCACATCTAAGGCCTCAGGCCCAATCTTTTATCTTTTCAACAGATAATTTTTTAACACAATTCTGTTTGCTCAGATTCTTTATTATACTGATGGGAAAACGTACAGACTTGGGCCTCAAGCTAATCGAATCAAACTGGTTGACCCGAATCCAACCAATGGAATAGCGTCCATTAGAATTGAAAACACTAGGCCATCAGATACGGGCACGTATTCATGTGATATAAACAATCCTCCGGATTTTACTGGAACCAGTGAGGCATTTGTCAATTTAATCGTCCAAGGTAAGAAGAAGAAACTAATATTCTGCTGTCTATTATCTTGTTGATCTGTTGTTCCACCATTTCATGTCTTTAGGGCTTGTCAATATTCAATTGAATATGGTTAATATTTTAGAGAAAGTTTTCAAACTCATGCTTCTTTTTAGCAACATTAAAGCCCTGCACTACCAAACAATGATTTGCTAAATACTTTAAACTGGAAAGTGTTTTTTGTTAGGCCCCCTAAGCGTATGTTTAATTTAAAATTTATTAACTTTGGCCGAATGATTGAGAACCAATGGACACAGTTTAAGGTATTTGACAAAAACCTTAATGGTAACGTAAGGAAGAACTTGTCAGTTCCTGAGAGAGAGTGGTGGAGGCAGCTTTAATCAGAGCTTCCATAGGGAATTGAAGAAACACCTGAAGAGAGAAAATCTGGACTAAAGACCAGGGCTGTGGACCAAACCGAGTTCCTCTCACAGAGAACTGGCACAAATAAAATAGGCCAGATAGCCTCCGAATGCGCTCTCACTATTTGATGATTCTATTCTATAATTATTAAAGATAAAAATATAGAAGCCAGGAAAATGCAATACGTCAGCTGAATGACCATTAAGTTAACAGATTAAATGGGAAAGAAGGGTGAAAACAATAGAATTCCTTCCAATGTTGTTGCTTTATTATTTTTATAAATATACTTTTATATAATAATTATGTTTCTCTGGGTTATAGAATAATAGAGTCATATAACATGGAAACAGACCCTTTGGTTTAACTCAACCATGCCAAACAGCTTTCCTAAACCAAACTAGCCCCGTTTGCCTGCGTTTTGCCCATATCACTCTAAACCTTTCCTTGGTGTACCTCAAGGATCTGTTTTGGGGTCACTGTTGTTTGTCATTTTTATAAATGATCTGGATGAGGGTGTAGAAGGATGGGTTAGTAAATTTGCGGATGACACCAAAGTCCGTGGAGTTGTCGATAGTGAAGGATGTTGCAGGTTACAGAGGGACATAGATAAGCTGCAGAGCTGGGCTGAGAGGTGGCAAATGGAGTTTAATGCAGAAACGTGTGAGGTGATTCACTTTGGAAGGAGTAACAGGAATACAGAGTACTGGGCTAATGGTAAGATTCTTGGTAGTGTGGATGAGCAGAGAGATCTCGGTGTCCATGTGCATAGATCACTGAAAGTTGCCACCCAGGTTGATAGCGTTGTTAAGAAGGCGTACGGTGTGTTAGGTTTTATTGGTAGAGGGATTGAGTTTCAGAGCCATGAGGTCATGTTGCAGCTGTACAAAACTCTGGTGCGGCCGCACTTGGAGTATTGCGTACAGTTCTGGTCACCACATTATAGGAAGGATGTGGAAGCATTGGAAAGGGTGCAGAGGAGATTTACCAGGATGTTGCCTGGTATGGAGGGAAGGTCTTATGAGGAAAGGCTGAGGGACTTGAGGCTGTTTTCGTTAGAGAGAAGAAGGTTAAGAGGTGACTTAATAGAGACATACAAGATGATCAGAGGATTAGATAGGGTGGACAGTGTGAGCCTTTTTCCTCGGATGGTGATGGCTAGCATGAGGGGACATAGGTTTAAATTGAGCGGTGATAGATATAGGACAGATGTCAGAGGTAGGTTCTTTACTCAGAGAGTAGTAAGGGCGTGGAATGCCCTGCCTGCAAAAATAGTAGACTCGCCAACTTTAAGGGCATTTAAATGGTCATTGGATAAACATATGGATGATAATGGAATAGTTTAGGTTAGATGGCTTCAGATTGGTTTCACAGGTCGGCGCAACATCGAGGGCTGAAGGGCCTGTACTGCGCTGTAATGTTCTATGTTCTATGTTCAGTGTTCTATGTGTGTACCTGTCCAAATGCCTTTTAAATGTTGTGTCTGTACCTGCCTTGAACCACTTCCTCTGGCAATTCATTCCATATATGCATATACCCTCTGTGTGAAAAAAGTTGTCCCTTAGGTCCTTTTTAAATCATTCACCTCTCACCCTAAACCTATGCCCTCTAGTTTGAACTCTCTTTCCATGGAGAAAAGACCTTAGCTATTCACCTTATCTATGCCTTTCATGATTGTATAAGCCTCCATAAGGTCAGCCCTTAACCTCCTATGCTCCAGGGGAAAAAATGTCCCAGCCTATCTAGCCTCTCCTTATAACTCAAACCCTCCAGTCCCGCTACCATCTTTGTAAATTGTCACAGGTCTCAAGTATTGCTGGAAAAGGATCAAGATATAATTGCACATATTGTGCTGCCATTCAGTAATCATTTAAAAAATGGTTTTCTTATGTTTGCAATCCCTGTCAGACATGTAATATATCCTGGCTGACAGTGAATGGTCAGAGGCCATTGGTAGCAAGTGTCTGCACTGCACTGTGATTGAATCCTGGATCCCTCAGTCTCCTAGGGGTTCTTTTGAGTGGAATTGGGAGCTTGCTGCATTTGAGTGTGAATTCAATTACACTATACCTGATTAGGAAAACGAAAAATAAAACTTCCCAACATTCGCAATGACCTCCTAACAAAACCCTGGGGGCCTCCCCACATAAATATGTGATGCTTCTGAGAAAACAAGTTAGTTAATGGTTAATTAGAGATGGAAGAGGCATTTCATTTTCTTTTTATTGTAGGAACAGGGTGCATTCTATGGCCAGGGTTCAGGCAAATTGTGGGCACTGAACTCAAATAGTGGGAAGCACAGGTTCAGTTTGGTTGCCAATGCAAAATAATTGATGACGTATTTTTTCCGGTGCCTTTGAACTTCTCTCTTCCTATAATCTCAATCATCAAACTTAATAATTATTGCATAACATCACAAGTCTTCCAATATAATATTATAGAAGTTTATAAAATCATGAGGGGTATAGACAGGGTTAATGGTAGTTGTCTTTTCCCTAGGATGGGGGATTTCAAGACAAGAGAGCACATTTTTAAGGTGAGAAGAGAGATTTGAAAAAAAACAAGAGGGCAATTTATTTTACACAAAGGGTGGTTCATGTGTGGAATGAACTTCCTGAGGAAGTGGTAGATGCAGGTACAATCACAACATTTAAAAGACATTTGAATATGTACATGATAAGGAAAGGTTTGGAGGGGTATGGGCCAGGAGCAGGCAGGTGGGACTAGTTTAGTTTGGGATTATGTTTGGTGCGGACTGGTTGGACCAAAAGGTCTGTTTCCATGCTGTATGACTCTGTGACTCTATGTTTAGGTGGAGATACTGATGTGTACACTTATTTCTAATTCTGTAGTCGCACCATCCATTCCTGAATGTAAAGTGATTGGGAAACCGTACATAGGAAACAATGTGACATTGCTGTGCAGATCATCAATAGGCCAGCCAAGTCCTAAGTATACATGGTCAGACGTCAACCCTGGTACTGAGAAATCATCATCGAGAGTCACGTTAAAAGGTATGCGGATGCTATTTCTCATCATAAGGCACTTTTTAACTTCAGTAAAACAGAAAGAAGGAAATCACACCTTTGTTGTATCTGATATATCTTCAGAACTTGCCCAAGCAGGCTAATAATATGTGGTCACTGTTACTTTAGTAAGGCCCTTCACCACAATGTTCAGATTTGTGATTTCTTAGGATAGATTTGTGACCTAAAGAATTGAATTGTCCTCCCCTTGTGGAAGCCCAATAACTAATTTCTAACAATTCTTGGGGCAACATCTTCAGGTAGTTTCTTTTATTCAATGACTGGAGGTAGGCATCATTGCACTATGCTGCACCATCCCGAATTCAGTTGAGAAGGTGAGCTGTCTTTTCATCTAAGACAGTCCATTGAAAGGAGATAGGTACATCGGTAGTTGTTGGAGCTAGGTCAGGAGGAAAAACCAACTCCCCTCCTTATAATCTCCTCTCAGTCAATCACAGCAAATACTTCTATTTCTTTTCAGCATGCTGATATCAGACTTCAATTAGAACCTTATTTGCTGGAGAATGACATAGACAATTACCAAGGTTGTCTTGAATAAAAGGAGGAAGAATTTTCTTTTGTAGGAACAAAGCAAGGAAATAAAAATGACATCAAGCAAACATAAATAATAAGCTTTAGAGGGAAGTGTTTGGTACATCCAAGTAGAATGAAGACTATGCACCATAAAAGTTCTTAGAGTCCTTGAGTTATTAAATATTTCTTACCTGCATTGCAGAAAGTGTGTATATCTTTGAGTTATCAATGAATGGTTTATCCCAATTTGCTTTTTCCTCGGGTGTTATCTTCAAAGGCAGTGAGGGAAACAGATAGCAAGAGAGAGAACATCTTTCAGTCTTGCTTACAAAACCATTTTCCTTCTATCTGCTCAGCTGCTCAAAAGCAGTTGTTGAAAGTTAATCCAGTGTGCATTCTTGAGTCTAGCTCCATGTTCTTTCCAAATGGTCTGTCTGGCAGGTGAGACTTTCACCTCTCAAAATGTGAATTTATCATTAAAGCGTGAATTAAAATAGGAAATGCAAATTTATTGAGACTATCTCAATTGCTTGGTTTCAATCTCTTTAGATAATAACAGTAATTTAATGACAGACGCTTTATTTATTCTTCATGAATGTCACAAAGCGTGCATCAATCTGTGTTGAGGTGACCGCTGCAACCATTTTGATCCATGATTCTTTCCTCTCGTAAGTTATTTAAGTCTATGGAAGATCTCAGGTGTAAAGTCAGACAATGGAAGTTAAAAAATTTGATAGTCCACATTTATCATCATTGTAACATAATGCTGTCAGTATGGTAGTTCTGGGAATTTGTGCTGTCCCTGTGGTTCCCATCTTCCTATGCTAAAGAAATCAATTGCCCCAGCTTTTCTGAGTTCATCAGGCTTCTGATACTGGTAAAGAATTTAATATCCCAATACCATACTACCATAATCACTTCATAGTTTCTTTCATTTTTTGGCAATCACTCTCAAGGATTATTTAAGAGTGACTCTCTAGGCATACTTCTCATTTGTCCACATTAAATTTGTGTTTAATATTTATTCCCAACTCAACTGCAGGATTATATTTTGGCCAACTTGCTTTCTAATTTCTGTGTTGTCAACTCTGACTCCATTCATCCTCTTTGTCTAGTATCAGCTAAAAATTTGACAACTTTGCCTTGGGTTTTTGAACGAGGTTACTGATATAAATTCAGAACAGAAGTACCAGCACTCAATGCTGAGGTACAGAACTCAACACTTAATGCCCTGTGACATTAATCTGAAGAGTACTTTTTCCTACCCTTCACACAATTTCTTATCTTTCTTGAGGTTGATCCTAAACCAGTTTCAGTTAATTAATAGCTTCCCATGTAGCAATTTATCAGAGACTTTTGATGGTCAGATGACATCAGGTCAATGAAAGAACTACAATTTACTTTAGACAGTTAGTTTTTTCGGAAGTGTCAGGATCTTTGTCAGCCAGAATCTTCCTTTTCATAATTCAAGCAGATTCTTTGTAGCTAAGCCTGGACTCAGCAAATTTACTCCTGTGGTCAAGCAATCATGGTCCCAAAATTGAACATTCCACAGCTGGAGAAAACAGCCCTGTCAGAAAATTGGCCAAACTAAATTAAACAGCACCCAGTAGCTATCAGCTACAGAGGAAACCAAGATCAAAGACGTAACAAAGGTTCACGAGGAACTAGTTACAACCATCCAAGAGTTGTATAATGGAGCAGTATCGATCAGACTTTCTGGCACCTTGACTTTCAGCCACTGCCTGAGGACATGGACTTTATACCTTCCCAGCATGGCAACAGGAAACGATGTTGGCACAATCCTATTGAATACTTTGAAAAGCCTGCTCGGCCCCACTGACCAAAGAACAAGAACACAGAACATTCTGAAAGTTTTGGGGTGAGGGTGGATACAAACACATACCTGGAAGCCACCTCCTCAATGAAGACTCGCAATAAAACTTGGGCAGAAGACAGTGCATCAACCCAAGAAGACCCAGGAGAAGATCCACCCAGACCTTTGAGATCCCCCTTCATGGAAGAGAGCCAGACCTACATTGGAGAAGGAGATGCCAATATATCCAGCTTAAACACATGGATTGTTGTGGGTAATATCTGTTCTCAGACAGATAGCGCTAGATAAAGAGTATATTATAGGACTTTGGGAAATGCTCACATGGTGTTTTTAATAAGGAAATTTTGTTCATAAAATTGAGTTGAATGGAAAACCAAATTCTGTATCCCTTTGTCTGCTTCACGAATAAGAGCACTCGGCTAATGTGTCATTAATAAACTGATTGAAGTATCTAAAGCACAGACAACAGTCTTGATAATAAATTGCAGTATTTACACGGAATGTGAGTACAACTAAGTCTCTGTCATTGCCCATGTCTGCTTTGGTTTGAAACCTTTTTTGTACTTTGGCATTCTAGTAACCTGTTTCCAACCTACTTGTTTCTGTGCAATGTTTATTGACTCCTTCGTAATAGTTGTGGATGCCTCAGAAACATCCACCCACCATTCTCAGCACTCTGAAATACATGCCATCAATTGCTGGAAATGGATTTGTTTTAGGTCTGTTGGATCTCTCCAGAATTCTGACTCATTTTATAACAATGTCATTACTTGGGTACCATTATCTGGAGGGACCATGTTGTGTAAGTATTATCTTGTAAATATTTAGAAGCAGCATTTAAACTGTATGACACACTTCTTTTGCACGTAGTGGCATCCATTTAAGAGGATAACCTTCAAATTAGTGACATGTACTGAATAAATTGGAAGGGAATATTTTCCCCTATAGCTTATAAATGAAATTCAAATAGTTTCAGATATCTTGTTTATATATTGTGATATAATTACTGCTCAAAAAAAAACCTGCCTACATAAAATTTGCAGATTTGATCATTATTCCATGTGGATTAACTACCTTTCTGTTCTTTAGTTACAAGTTCATTCTATATAGTCAGTTCTGCTTCATCAGTACAGCCAGAGGATAGCATTTTGTTGGGTTTCTGATGTGAATCCTGAGCCTATGTTATGTTTCTCTGCACTCCATCGCTATTGCTTCCAATTAATCTAGAAAAATGGCAAAGGTTGACATTGTCCACAAAAAGTGACAACTTAACACAAATTCTACCCTTTATAAACCAATGGTTATTTGGGCTTTGTAACATAAACTGTGCATATATATAAAACATTTTTTCACTTTTATTGAGAGGAAAGAAAAAACCTAAATGCATTATGTTTTAAAGCAAAACCCAAATGTTAAGTCCAAAATTGCTGCTGAATTCTGCTTCGGTTGGTGATGTACTCTGGTTCAAGTAAGTATTTTTAGACTTCATAGGTTATGGAAACGTAATCTAAAGAAAATAAGTAAGAAAGGGATATTTGGATGCTCAGACAAAATGATTAGCTTATTATTTAGTGCAAGGATAAGGGAAAGGGTCACATGAGAGGGTTTGTCCATGGTCAGGAGGTCCCTTGTTTTGTGGGACAGACAGCATATGATAGCACTTGGCATTGTTGCCTCATACATCATGGGCTGGAGGGGATACATGGACAAGTTCAAACTTGTGTATACAAGTAGAGTGGGGACCAGGGGGCGTGCGAAACCTAAAAGGTTTACAGGAAGGGCTGCCTGGAAGAGGATTTGGATATTTGGAGACTCACTGACAACTGCTGGCCAAAAAAGCGTTATCTGTCGCCTTGCAGGCCTGCTAGAATGTGAACAGAACACAGGCTTACAAGATTCTTAATGCCTGCCACCCTGTTGCACCACCACCCCAGTCCCCTCCCAGCGCCCAGTTGCTATCTGTTCACTTGTCAGACCCTCCTTCTGTGAGGATGAACAGTTTTTCAATTTAGAAAAAGTCACTTTGAATTTAAAGGAATGTGCCATTGGGTATCCAGCACCTACTAAAGGAATAGGCAAGGCACTTTGTATTTTGGTTCTCTGGTGAGCCATTATAATTGGAAGTGAAATCAGATGTTCTGTACAGCAGAAATATGGAAATAATTTTCTTACCTAAAAACTCCGGGTTTGCGCTGGAAAGATTCATGGACTATTACAAAGCTCTAACATCAATAGTGCCAATTCCTTCGTTAGGTCACAGAAGTCCCCACAATTGTTTCAATTTTAAACACCTCCCTTTTAATCTTAAAGGTACTAGTTTTGATAGAGCGTACTTTCAAGCAGCTCTTTGTTTAAGTTGCTACTTGACTGGGCTTGGGGTTGAAATGGTGGCAACATATAACAGAATCCATACAGTGTGGATATAGGTCATTTGGCCCGAGTCCACACTGCCTCTCCAAACAGCATCCCACCCAGACCCATCCCCATACCCTATCCCTGTAACCCTGCATCCCCTGTGGCTAATGCACCTAACCAATACATCCCTGAACACTATGGGTAATTTAGCATGGCCAAGTGACCTAACTTACACATTTTTGAACTGTGGGACAAAACTGGAGCATCCAGCGGAAACCCGTGCAAACTTAGGAGAATGTGCAAACTCCATACAAACAGTTGCCTGAGCGTGAAGTCGAACCCAGGTCCCTGGCACTGTGAGGCAGCAGATCTGATCACTGAGCCACCATGCCATCCACCATTTGCCATCATTGACCAACTTCTATCCTGAGCAGACAAACATGGTTCAGCTTTCAACAATAAAAACACCAAAGTGGAGAAATGATTATTCTGCTATCCTACAAAAGCAATTAGCTTTCACTGATGTGGGGCCATGGATACAAGGATTTGTCCTTTAATATTAAATACTTGAAGGGAATTAAATGCAACAATGGGCTTTTATCAAATAGATTTTTAATGAAGTGGAGTCTTTAGTAGACACAAAAAAATTATTCTCTCATCATGCCAATGGTTGCAACTGAGTGAGTTGGCATGGTGTGTAATGCTGTTGGTTGTGGTGAGTCATGGATTGTTTTGTGTTGGCAAAATAATTGGTATAAGGGCTATAAAGGACGATGGGGATGTATGGGAATGCAGAAGTTGGCATATTATAAGGGTGGGTGGGGTCATGAGTTGATTTGAATACGGAATATATGATTGGCGAGGATGTAAAGGTTAGATGGCCTTCCTGTGATTATAATGGTTGGGACTGATGCAGGCCATATAAAAAGCTTATCTCAGTACTGTTTCTCAGACTAGTGAACAAACCTCATTCGTCTCTGGAACAAGATTCCAAACATTTGTCCTTCCAAGCCAGGTTTGAGGAGGCAACAATATACCCAAATTGCATCAGAAATGGAAATTGCTGGAAAAACTCAGCAGTTTCAGATCCAGTGACTCCTCCTCAGAACTGATTGTGGCTAGGAAAAGGTTGATATGTATGCTAAAGAAAGGGTGGGGGACGGAGGGGGAGTAAACGAGAGTGGAGATAGAGCCCATAGAGAGAGAATAACAGTTGGACAGACAAAGGAATGGGTAAAAGTTAGGCTGGGAGACTCCATAGCTAATAGAGACCGTTAGTGGCTGACAATGGGTTGTTTGTGGCAGCAGTCCTTGTGATAACAAAGCCTGGTGTGTGGGGGCTGGGGTAAGGACATGGGTGCTCAGGCCCTAAAATTATTGAACTCGATATTGAGTCCCGAAGGCTGCTGGGTCCCCAAGTGGAAATTGAGGTGTTGTTCTTTTAGCTTGCGCTGAGATTCACTGGAGCACTGCAGCAAGCCCAAAAATGGAGATGTTGGCCGGGGAATATGAAGAGGCAGGCAACTGGAAGCTCAGGGTCGTTTTTGCGCAAAGAATATATGTGTACTGCAAAGTAGTTTCTCAGTTTATATTTTGTCTCCCCACTATAGAGCAGAGCACACTATGAGAAGTGGATATTGTAAAGTTGATTGAGTGAGGGGCAGGTAAATCACTGCTTCACTTGAAAGGTGTGTCTGGGGCCTTGGTTAGTCAGGAGGGAGGAAGTAAACAAAATGGGGTTACACCTTCTGCAACTGCATGGGAAGGTGCTGCGGGGCTGTAGGGAGGTGTTGGGAGTGGAAGAGGAGTGGCCAAGGTAGGCCGGAGGAACAGTCCCTGCAGAAGGCTGATAAAGGAGGGGAGGGGAATATGTGTCTGGTGAAGATAGGGGAAATGATCCTTTGGATCTGGAAGCTGGCAGGTTGGTAAGTGAGGACCAGGGGTTTCTGATCACTGATGTATGAGGGAAAAGGAGGGAGAGAGCTGAAATGTGGGAGATAAGTCAGACAAGACTGATGGCCATGTCAACCATGGTGGAGGGGAATCTTTGGTTGAGGAAGGAGGAGGACATTTTGGAGACCCTTTGTAGAAGGATCATCATCGGAACAGTTGCGATGGAGGCAGAGAAACTGGGAGAATGGAATAGAGTCCTTATAGGAAGCAACGTGTGAGGATGTATAGTCAAGGTAACTTCGGAATCAGAGGGTGTGTAACTGATATCAGTTGCCAGCCTATCCATAGAAATGAAAACACCATTGTTGAGAAAGGGTAGGGAGGAGCCAGAGATGGACCATAAGAGCAGGTGGAAATTAAAATCAAAAGTGACAATACAATACCTTAGGGAATTCAGGCCTCAAAGATATTATATTTGCCGATCTAGCTAGTATCACCAAAAGACAACTGCAATCAATTGAATTAATAGCATGCAAAGACAGCTACAACCCATAAAGCTATGTCCTCTCAGAAACCTTTGCACCAGAGAGAGAAAGTAGAGGAAGGGACAAAGTAAATTGGGTATATCTGTGGAAATTTATCATTTCATCGTGAACTGAATTCCCCACAATGTTAATGATTTATTTCTATTCATAATTTTCATGAAATTTTTTAAAGCTGCTTTGTCAACAAAGTAGATTCCCACTAAGATACTGACATTGCCTATCTGGAGTCAGTAGGAATTTTAGTGGGAGGGTAATGGATTACTCTTACAGCTTCTGGACATACTGGGTTCATTTAGTGATTTACTGCCACAGTGACAGACATTTATTACTTCACCTGATTCCTTCTTGATTCTGAGCATCTTGTGTTTGTTTCTGAAGAAGGGTCCATACCTGAAACACCAGCTTTCCTGCTCCTCTGGTTCTACTTGGCCTGCTGTCTTCATCCAGCTCCACACCTGGTTACCTCAGACTCCAGCATCGGCAGTTCCTACTACCCCTTGTGTTTGTTTCAGTCATTTCTTTTCTTCCTTTTCATATTTGTAGATTCTAATAAAGGCAACCTGTTTCTGAGAAACCTGACAATGGAGCACTCAGGAACCTACAAGTGTGTGGCATCCAACATCCTTGGGGAACGATCATGTCAACTGGTTCTCACAGTCACAGGTAAGGATAGATTTCTTTTGTCAAATTCAGCTGTTAATCTTTTCAGTAAAATAACCCTAAATATAGGCATGAGCAAATGCCACTACAAACAGATGGCATTTATCTAACTTTCAATTTGCAATAACGTTGTCATTTTTGGCTGTTTTTGGGAACCAATACTTCACGGCCTGAAGGCATCTTGTGAATGGTGTGGGTGGGATTCAGTGGGGAATTAGCAAACGGAGAGAAAAAGGACTTTGATAATTAAAACATTGAAGTGATAATGTGGCATCATTTCACTGTATCACCAAATGTACTGAATTTGTAAACAAGGTTTTGAGAGTTTGCTGTGTGCAAAAATTACATTTAGTGCAATTTTCACTGGAAATGTGGAACAGAGAAAATCTACAGACCCAATGCAACAGGAGTAGCACCGTGTCTCAATGGTTTCACACTGTTGCCTCACAGCACCAGGGACCCGGGTTTGACCCTTTCCCCTGGCTGTGTGGAGTTTGCACATTCTCCCTGTGTCTGCATGGCTTTCCTCTGGGTGCTCTGGTTTCCTCCCACAGTCCTAAAATGTGCAGATTAGGTGGATTAGCCATGCTAAAATTGCCCATAGTGTACAGAGATATGCAGGCTTGGTGGATTAGCCATGCTAAAATTGCCCATGGTGTACAGGGATGTGCAGGCTAGGTGGATTAGCCATGCTAAAATTGC